TGTGTGTGTGTGCGCGCGCGCGCGCTGGGGATGCAGGGGTTCTCATTATTGCAGCCAGCCCCTACTTTCCTCTACAACTACAACTTGGCTGGACTGTCATGATTTCCTTGAAAAACTTCCACCTCCCAGCCCTTAGAAAACAGCAAGCACACTTGTGCTCATCGGCCCTTGTTTCTCAAACAAGCCCTTAGTTGTGTTCGTTTTTTTGTGGGGAGAAGGATTCAGGGGCCACACCTGGCTGTGTTCAGGGGACCATATGTGGTGCCGGGGATTCAAACTAGTTGTGACACATGCAAAGAAAGTACCTTTCTGACCTCACACACTGTCTTTTTAGACTCAGTTACTTGCGTTTTTGTTGGTGATGTGGGAAAGGGGGATAGGGGGCAGGGAATAGGGCTTTATTTTGTCCTTGTTGGTTTTTATCTTTTTGTTCATGTTATTTTTGAGTCACACCCTGTGGTTGTCAGGACTTAACTTCTGGCTCTGCAATCAGAGATCACACTTGAGCAGACCCAAGGTTATGTTCTGAGCAACGCTGGGTGTAACCCATTTTCTCCCCTACCCCCAATTTCTCAGAATGAGTCTATTGAGGGTGACAGGCAGGTACATGCATTTGTGAAAGATGTTACTGAATTATAGACATAAGGAAAGTTTATTAGGAAAATAGGATGTTTGCAGAGAAGGGGCAAGAGGGTCTTCACGTCACTTTGTCTGGGTTTATATACCCTTTCTTGCATATGAGGTCCTCAAATGTGGGATGCTACCTTTGTAACTTGGGCCTCTAAGTCAGGCTTGGGATAACTGTTTAGGGTTTAGATGGTACCTGCATCCTACTAGGGAGTATTTTGTTAAGTTTCTATAAGCAAGCATCTGGGCCTCATCTGAAAGGAACAAAAAATAAGCCAAATAGCCTGCAAGGCAAGCATAGAGGCTAATCTTGCCATTGTGGTTGCTGAGATTTATGGCTTGCATATCCTAATAGGTTCCATGCTGGCTTCTTGCATCCTGTTTTTGTGTCTGGAAAAAGAAATCTGTTGAACATCGGCATTTTAAAAGGTGTCTCCTTTAGACTCAATAGTGGAAGGTTTTGCTATATCAGTCTGTAATTCAAGGCAAATAGTAGAGGTCAGCGAGATATAGAGAAGAGCAAAGAGGAAGAATGTAAAATCTCATACACCTTGTGAGATGAGAGATCCCAGAACAGTTTGGATCTGTCCAAAAGCAACAGAAAAATTGAATGGGAACTGTCTTCAGATGTCCCTTAAGTAATATGAGAATATTTGTGCAAACACAGGTGAGTCAGATCAGTCCTCTAGTCTATTGTTACTTCTCCTGGGGGAGGAGGCATTGTATACCTGGGGAAGCATTTTCTGACAAGGGCAAACATTAGACACCAAGACAAAGAACTCTACTTACAATTCCAGCTTTATTCCTTGTATCAGATTCAATCATCCAACCATTTTGAACTAATGGGGGTAATACAGTATAGTTGACAAGTGCAAGAACTTTGGAGCTGAAACCTGGGTTTGAACCAGTTCTTGCCACATCATTTAGCTATATGACCTAAGTACTAGAAAACTGAAAACATGTTTCAGAGCTTCAGTTTCATCCTCTGTGAAAAGGAGAGTGTCTTCTAAGACCATTGTTAGGATTAACTGTAGCACTGTCCTCCCATAGTTCATCGATTTGCTCGAGCGGGCACCAGTAATGTCTCACAACAAATTGTGAGACTAGTTGTTACTGTTTCTGGCATATCGAATACATCACAAGTAGCTTGCCAGGCTTTGTCGTGCAGGCGAGATACTCTCAGTAGCTTGCCAGGCTGGATAGTTAAAATGCACTTATGCTCACTTAGTGATTGTCATTCCTTTCGATAATGATTCCTTTTCCTCAGGTTTCTCTGATCTCCCACTATTATGCAAGTTGCCTCTTTAGCCTTAGCAATTTTAGAACACGGACTCTTCCCCAGCTGGGTATTGCCAACACATCACACATTGCTGGAACCTAGGGAATGTGTGTTGGTTGAAAGCAAAATAAAGGAGAGGTAAAGTAGTAATAAGAAATATATGAAGGAACACAAACATGGCAAAGTGCCTGCTCCCAACATGGAGAGCCTCTAGCTGGGACACAGACTATGACTATCTGACTCTTCTGCAAGATTTGCCCTTTAGAATTGCTTAACACATTTTGTTAGGGTAGGATGGAGCAACAAACCTTTTTAAGTTTTATTTTTCCCTTATTTTGGAATATATCATAAATACAAGAATGTGCACACACACAAAAATGCATAGAATATATACACTGCTTAAAGAATAATAAGGTGAACACCAAGCAATCACCATATAGGAGAGAAATTAGTAGAGAATCCTAGAATCTTAGATGTCTCTCCTCATCACATTTAACCTTCCTCTCCCTACACAACTCTGACTAGCAACCATCGCTCCCTTGCTGCTGCTATCATTTATATGTGGATTTCTAAGCCAGGCTTACTGGATTTGATTATGAATTGAATCATGAATTGTGTGTATATTCTTTTGAAATTTCTCTCTCTCCTTTAACTTTGTAAATAACCCAAATTATTGAGTATGGCTGTATTTGGCTTTATCACTATAATATTCCATTATATAACTACCACAATTTATCTGTCTATCACTGGTGGACCTTCAAAATTTTTCGAATTTGGGGCTATTCTCAACAATGTTTCTGCAAATATTTTCTGGCATATTTACACCTCTAAGTTTTAGGTTAATTTTGAGGCTGGGACCTCATGGCATGTCAGACTTCACAGTCAGCACCATTAAGCTATATCCCTAGTCCTTTTCCTTTTTTTTTTTTCCTTTTTGGTTTTTGGGTCAAACTTGGCTGTGCTCATGGCACAAGGATCTAAACTCAGGGGTCACTCCTGGTGGCTCGTAGGTTCTTTTGGGGTGCTGGGGATCAAACCCGGATCAGGCACATGCAAGACAAGCATTCTACCCGCTCAGCTAGCTATCTGGCCCTGCACCTTTTCAAGACTTCTGTCATCAGAGCCAGTGATGTTCCTAAGGTGTGAACTTGATAAAAGTTTGCCCAAAGATATAGACAAGTAGGTAACAGGTGTTGAAAAAACCCTCCCATATTTCTCAATTGTGCTTTAAAGTGACTCTGCTCAAAATCACCTGGAGCCTAATGGCTCTGTGGTAAGATACAACTATATTCACACACTTTCTTCTAAGGAAATAGTTTTTGATCATCTTAGCTAATTATAACAAGCAATATAAAGTATTCAGGGCCTGCTAAAGGGGCAGGCTCGAGGGGTGGTTGGGAAAATTGGAAATAATGGTGGTGGGATTGATGTTGGAATACTGAATGTAATAAATCAAGAACAACTTTAGAAAAAAATGGGAAAAGAATCACCTAGAGAATTTGTTAAATATGCATATCCAGGCCAAACCTGCCAAATGAAACATCTCTAAAGACGAAGCTGAAGCAGCTTTGTTTGCAAGTTCAATCTCTTCTCTTTCCCATGATTACCAGGCCACTGATTTCTATTGGTGTTTTGTTGCAGTCTGGGTGAGATGAATCCTAATGGTTGTGTGTTAGACATTTTGAGAGAATGATTAGTACCTTCATGTGCAAGAAATGTGTTTCCATGCTGTTGCTTTGTCCATTGCCATTGGCATTATCAAGTCTCATCTTACTCTACTTTTAGCAAATTTGCAGGACTGAGGTCCAACTTTTGCTTTCACACCCCATCTCAACTTCGCACATCTGCCCTGTTTTCACTCTGCTTCAACCACCCCTGCCAAAGACTAAGAAATCTCAATCCCCCTACCTCCAGTCTTTCCATTACCCCTAATCAAGTCCCACAATAGGACACCTAGTCTTTATTGTTTTAAATAAACGTTGGGGGAGGGGAAGAGGGTACTATTTACTTTCACAGCAAAACTGAGCACAGAGTATCACAACCTTATAGGAGAAAATTTCTCTTACTGGAGGTCAGAGAGATAGAATAACAGGTAGGATGTTTGTCTTGCATACAGCCAACCCGGGTTCAAACCCTGGGACCACATCTGGTCCCCTAGCACCACCAGAAATTACTTATCCCTGAGTGCAGAGCCAGGAGTAAGCCCCTGAGCACTGCCGTGTGGGGAAAAAAAATCCTATAATATCCTACACAAGAATAGTACATTTGTTTTATTACATCAGCATATTGTCTACCCTCATATTCAGAGTTCATTCTTATACATTCTATAGCTTTTGACACATACACAGCATCTTCTAGTTATAGTTTCATAAAGAATACTTTCAGTTATTATAGACCTCAGGTTCTGCCTAGTCATTTCTCCCTCCTTTGGAGCTCCTGATCTTTCTGTCTCCATAGTTTTGGTTATTCAAAATATATAGCGAGACAGCTCGGTGGGCTGGAGTGCAAGTCTGGGGGAGTCAGCCCCAGTTCACTGTACTACATATGGTCCCCAGCACTTGCAGCTGTCGTCTCTGCATACAAACAGGAGTCACCCTGAACAACCAGCACCCTATGACCCAAACCACTGCTGCCAGGAAAAAAACCAAACTTTTCCTTCAGGTCTCAAACAGCTTGATAGCTCAGTTGAGTGGCGAGTAAAGTTCCACTCTGTGTGGAATATCTAAACTCCTCCTTGTGCAGGATTTAGTCTGAATGTAAGTTTTGTCCTTTTGGTATGTAACAAGGAGCACAACTGTTGAAATGTATGCTACAAGGATAATTTTCTAAGAAATCTATCCTCTAGAGTGGTTATACCATTTTGCACTTCCATCAGTCAAGATCGAGAATTGATCATATCCAGCATTGTGGATTCTGGTCATTCTATTATGTGATAATGTGATAATCTACTGTCATCTAAGCACCTGGTACTTAAACCACATAATATGTCCTTATAAAGGGAGGGCTTTTGAAGAGAAATTTTTAAAGAAAATTTTAACTCAATCTCTAAAATAGCCTAACATTTCTGAAGACTTGCTCTCTTTTTTCAATACAGGTAAATGCGGAAGGGACACCAGAAGAAGTCTTTCTTCAACTCTGCAAAGCTATTGACTCCATTTTCTGAAGGCAATGCTGCATGTATGTTAAGGAGATTGGAGACAGGAAAAAAATATATTAAGAGGCTTGTTCCTTGTGTTAAACCTTAACCCTTTTGTGTCAGCCCCACCCACCCCAATCCTGAAGTTATTTGCTTCCCAGCTTGAACTATTCGAGAGGTTTCTGGAACCACGCATGGTATCATTGGTATTTTCCAACCTTTTCTTCATGATTCAAAGTGCTGTCTACACTCACAGTACACACTCTTTTCCATTATATAGGCTGTACCTCATAGCTTAGTAAGTAAACAGCTGTGCAATGCCAGTCGAGATGTCAGTTTTGCCTTCAGGGTTTGCTACAGTTTGAACATTTGGTTTTCATCTTATCAAATAGGGAGTGGGCTGAACTCCCCATCAAACCTTCCTTGCTCCCCAAGACTGAACATGCTTGCCTGACAAAGAACTTTAGTATTGGGGGATGGGCATGTTCTTCTGGTAGCTATATCTCTGTAACCAGAGAAATTGAGCTGATAATGTTTTAAGAAACTTAAGATTTGAAAAGAAAAAATTAATATGAAATTGTATTGCTTCTGCAAAAGAGTAAAACCCAGACCAAGTCATCAACAACATCATTTTTTGAGACTGGCTTTTCAGAAAACTATCCTAATAGCTAAGAAAATAATGGGAGAAGTCGTCTACTGTAGTTTTTTCTTCTAAACAAGGTTCATGCTGCCAGTTCAGCAATTATAATACCAAATGTTACTTAAAATCCTAAGATTTGTTATTGCACTCACTTGACAAATACTAATTTAAAGTGTCCACTTCAAATGATGACCTATTATTCTTGTTGCCAAACACATAAGGAATATGAAAGAGTAACAAAACTGATGTGGGTGGGGAGGGGCATGTCAGTAGATGATGTTTAAGATTCCAACTTTGCTTTTTCGTATCTCCTTGCATCAAACCAGTGAAGTTTGGGTTCTCATTTGTGTTATCAGTTGCCAAATCTTACATATTCTACAGGAATTACTGCATCTTTCAGTCACTATAAAAGACCATAGTTTTCAGTCTGCATGATTTTTTTTTGTTTGTTTCTTCAGTGGTTGTGCAGAGAAGCCATTTCTGGGACAGAATTGTATTTTTTAAGCCATCCCCCCTCCCCCTTGAAATGGATATATACAAATAAAATAAATGGAACACAGAATAGCTTTTTCTATTTATTTGTAATTCACATCATTCTGGAAGCAATTGAAGCCTTATTCCAAACAGAATTAGAAGCAAACACAGTTAATAGCTGAGATTTATGAATGCTCATATGGTTTTAATTTGGGGCATAGAATAGTTTTGAGCTGTTATTACAGAGAAAACTTTCAGAGTACCCAAAATACATGGTAATTTTCATATTTCCTTTTTCTCTAGCAGTCATTCTTTAACAGAAATATCAGTGTTTGCTAAAGAAGAAATTAAATTTCTTTGGTTACATTTATGCCTCTAAAGAACAAAAAGGGGCATTTTCCTACAACTCACATCATTTTCAACTGCCCCCAAGTTGTTACTCTATATAGGGCAGCCTCATAAGTATTTGAGCAAATTAGAAAAAAAGTTACAGGATGAATATTGTCAGTTGTACTAAAAACAACACACACACATACACAAAGTGACCCTTCATAGGGTTTAACACATACTGCATACTGGCAAACAGTCTATGCCAACCAGAGCTTTGACAGCTTGGCTAAAGGAAATGGGACAGCAGGGCAGTACACATGCCCAGCCATGACTTTCATGACTGTTGTTGACAGCCCTCATGTAATTCAGAAGAGGTAAATAGCTTTACCCATGAAGAGGTGTAAATAAAGTGTTCTACAGAACTGCTTAGACACATTACTGATTATCAGTGTGATATGGCATCATTACTTCAGTCACAAAAATTTAAAACAAGGACCCTTAGATGTCTCTGCTTTGAAGACTTTGTAGAACACATCATAGCAATCCAAACTCCTTTACAATAGTCAACATTAGAGGTGACAGCACACCATACATACTTCGTACTCTCTCGCTCCAGCAACTACCACTCTACTTCAGTTCATTTGGCTTTAGCTACACTGGCACTCTTTTCTCTTTGGGGAAAGGGTGGGAATGGGGACTTGGGCCCACCCAGAGGTGCTCAGGATTCATCGTTGGCAGTGCCAGGGATAGAACTGGGGCCAAACATGTGTAATAACCCTTGGACCTCTTCTGACTCTTATACCGACACTTCTAATGTTGCCAGAAAAATTCAAACTCTTGGATTAGGGATTTTCTATTGCTTACTGTCTGCATCTTCTGGATTATCCACACAGCTACCCCATTGGGGTATTCCCTTACCCCGTTCAGATCTTTGTTCAAATTTTTACTTGTTACTGAGGTCTTCTTTCCAATTAAAATAGCAAACTGGTTCCCACTCTTTTATCTTTCTTGAGAGCACCTACCTCTGTCTAAAATTAAAGTATTATTAATTAACTTGCTTATTGCTGATCTCCTGCATTAGATAACAAGCTCCATAAGTACAATGCTTTGGATCTCCAGTCCCATATACAATCTCATACACAGCCAACACTTAAATTCTCTGAATCCTCATTTGCTCATCTGTACAATGATGACTGTAACAGTAGAAGTGCTGAAGAGTAAACAACACATGTAAATTGCTTACTTATTCCTAGTACTCAGCAAAAAGTGGCTATGTCAACATTTATTGTGTACTTCACTCACTTCCATAGTTTGAACTACAATTCGGAATTTTCACTCATATCCTATTACATCACCCTAAAAATATGATTAAAGCATCAGTATACATGGATAGCATACATAAACAGGGTCCCCATAAGAGAACCAAAGCTTTCTTAGCCACGCATAGCTGAAGCACATCCTCCAGGTAAGTAAGCTGCAATTCTTACAGTCCTGTCAGAGCCATGTAGAGGAGATATCCTAATAAACGTCTTTTAAGGATGACAGAGAGACACTTTGGGAGAGGTGGGTGGTATCTCCCAACTTCCTAGGGAAAATGTGTAAATCACAAAAAAGAAAAAAAAAAAAAAACCGGGCAAGTTACTAACAAATATTTATTGAGAATCTATTAAGACCAAGAAGAGCCAAGTCATAGGCATACAGACAGATACAGAAGTTCTCTGGTCTCATGGAGCTGAATATGATGCCCATACTCAAAAATCTATTTAATCAGCTATCCAAATGGTTATTAAAAAAAAGTTACCTTTGTTTTGATCACAGGGCACATTTTCTACATCAAGGTAAAATATAAAAAACAAACAAAAAGACACTTTAGAGCCTAAAAAGAGCAATGCCTCCATAACCTTGTGGGGAAAACCTACTTGTTATCTGAGAACTTATTATATAGTGCAACTAGAATGAAGGCCTTCAAACTTACCTACAATAAGTTTAACATGCTGTATTTATGACAGAAAATAAATTTCACACACACAAAAAATAAGTTTAGCTTTACTACATGTGAAGGCCTATTTTCTCTACTTCTCTTAAGAAAAAAAAATATATTGCAGCGATGGAGATAGCTCAGGTGGCAGAGCACATGCTTACTACATGCAAAGTCCTGAGACTGATTCCCTGGCACTGCAAATGCCCCTTCCCCCTAGCACCGCCAAAGGTGGTCCTGGTAGTCCCCAAGCACCACCAGGCCTGAGCACCTCAGGCCTGCACCATGGGGTTGCGCACTACTAGGAGTGGCCCCAAGTCACCACTCCACTCCCAGCAGTGCGAGGTGGGGCCTCTAAAAATTATTTTTTTAAATGTCCTCGTATACCTCTGTAAATTGTTGCATTCCGCAATCAATTTCAACAAAAGGAAAGAGAGGAAAATAGACAAGGCATACTACCAGGTCTTAAGCGGCACCAAGTATGCATGGAAATAAGTACCTGAGTCAAGAGACACAAGCCAGTCTCAATTTTGTCTAAACCCTCATGACCGCACATTTGCTGTCAACTTATAATCTGTACATTGTGTTTTTCTTGTTCACTAAGGGAAGGCCTTCTGGGTGCCTTCCCGTCATATATAGCCATGCTTCTTTACTCTGTGCAATAAACCTAGACATATGCTCACATTTGTACTCTAGGAACACACCACACCAGGAAAAAGAACTGAGAAACAACCCCTACACACCTCCACCTCTATCCCTTCATTGACACCTGACTGGAAAGGAATATTCTGGCTCAGAAATTATGATAATGAAGCAGATGCTGACTCTGGAGTACTCTCTCAGATTAAAAATCCACCAAATTTAAAGTACCCCCACCACCCCATTTATACAACCATGAGCAGGTTATATAACTTCTCTGACTAGACTGCCTCATAAGAAATCAGGAAAATAAAACTTTTCTCATTCAGTTTTAAGAATTAACGTTTTTACTCTATGCTTTCTGGGACATAGTCAACACTGCATTGGTGATCACTGGTATTACTAATACATAACACCAATTGTGATCTCTTCTGCCTAAATGTAAGACTAGTGGTTTCAAGTATCACTAATGATTCCTTCAGCAGATAGTACAAAAAGGACTAGAGCAGTGTTTCTCAACCTTTTTCCAACTGTGGCCCCCACACAGTTTCCTGGGCTAGAGCACATGCCTAGCAGCTTGGGGCCCATTCACTGTATGGCCTCCCTAGCACCAATGGGTGTTAGCACTGGTGGCCTGAGCACAGCTGAAAAGATGCTGCAGTAGAAACAATAAAAGTTCCTTCATTTCTGATCAAGTAACTTGAGCATATTATTTCAGGAAATATATCTGACCTACTGAATAGCACTTAGGAAGCAATGCTTTAAGAAGTGGGGTTATAATGACATTTTATAGGAGGTGGAAGACCTACTTGGAAATGATAGTCCTGCCCATTTCCTCCAGTCCTCAACTTAAAATACAACATTACTGCTAGTACTACACATCAGGAACCTTTAAAGTCATGAGGACTATTTGCCTGGAGCTGAAAAATGCAAAATAAGTGCATCTTCACTTAAACAGCAAACAATCCTGTGTCAATCAAAAT